TCACTGCGTTCGTCATACGAAGTCCTCGAGTGCGAGTGTCAACATCTTCGGGTGTACGCGGGGCATACACAAGTACGCGAGGCGTACTTCGGATCGGATCGCTGACTCCTCTTCGGATAATGCCGGGGTTTAATAATTAATTTTAATTATTAATTATTTAATAAACTTCGGAAATTCATATCTCCTTCATACGAACTCCGTTTTCGATGTTCTTTATATCCACGCGAAGGTGAGACTACGCTCTACAACTTTCGTTTAGATTCCGTCGGCTAATTTTGACTTTATTTTTATTATTTATTTTTAATAGGCCGGGACAGAAAATTTCGTTATAAATTCATAACTTCTTCGTCCGACGTCCGTTCTTGCCTAACTTTTCATCGTTTCGCTACTAACAACGAGATCTTCGATTCTCGTTTAGATCGCTAAGGCTAAATATCACTCTAACGTAAATTCACTTTTTACGTCATTCAGCGTTGTGTCGGTTCTGTCGCGAAACTTTAACAAGTCAGAACTTCTTCGTTATAACTCGGATTTTGGCGTTCTTTATATGCACGGAAACCTTGTAACATATACTACAACTTAGTTAGGATTATTCATCCTAAATAATCTTCTATCAAAAAGTCATTCTTGACGCTTATTGTCTCTAAATTGACTAGCTCTGATCTACGGGCGTTACAATTATCTCCCCCTTAGGATGATTACGTCTCGGAATCATCAACGAAATAGGATTTGTATACTAACTCCATAAGTTATCTCTCCATTCTAAGTAATAACCTTGATGCTCAACCCTGCATCTGTTCTTCGTACTACGTTGGACTTTAGATCGACATCTTTAAGTTACAAAATAAATCCTTATTGTGGACTCCTTCTTCTTCTAAGGATAAATACATTCATTTATCTATTGTAACTAACCGATGGGTCGTGCCCCGATGACCTCTCATCGCGGTCGGACTCAATTAATATGACCACTAAGGTCGGAATAACCATCATCCTACTAGTCATTTCCGAAACAAGGGAAATGACAAACTTGAATAAAACGAAATCAATTACTAGCTTCTTGATAACCTTGTGACTTCCCCTGATCCAAGCGTGAGTCCTGTGCTTCCGGTAGTATAGATCTCTACTACCATTCACACCTACTCATACTCGTTCTAAGTATTGTCTCACGGTTAACCAAGTCACCATACATAAATCATATAATCATTCAACACATCAAATAACAAAACCAGGGTTTTATATTAAATCTTGAAACTATTACACAAAAGTTCAAGTTCACCCTATACTATGCCTCTAACCGGTTATGCTTCCTGATACAGACTTTATATATTAATGTGAAGTCTTCATCTTTTAATCCTCCCATCCTTTTCTACTTCGTGAGGAACATGTTGAATGCCCTTGGCTATGGGGGCGTGTTTTTCTGTGGGCAGTCATTAGAAATATGACCTTCTTCGTTACACATATAGCACACCTTCTTGATAGGTGCGCACTTGTTGGCGTAGTGCCCTATCTTCCCACATTTGTAGCAAGTCATCTCCTCGCTACATATCCCGAAGTATTTCTTCTTACACTTCTCACACCACATAGCTTCATCTCTTCCCCCAGATTTCGAGAATTTACTTTCTTTGTCGATTATTGAAGATCCTTCACGCTTCCTTTTCTCTCCAACTTCAGCTCTTTCCAGACCCTTTTCTTTTATTTGGGTCTCAACATTCTTGGCTGCCTATATGGTGGCTTTCAGAGTGGTTGCTTGTTTGACTATCGGACCAAAGTCCGCTAGTAATCCATTGGCAAACTTGTTGACCTTGGAAATCTCAGTTGGAATTAGGTGTGGAATAAGCCTCATCTTCTCCGTAAAGCTCGTAGCGTATTCAGTAACGCTCAATTTTCCTTTCTTCAGATTCTGGAACTCATTGTTGATTTCCAGAAGATCTTGCTCAGAGCAGTATTGCAATTTCAGTTGCACCACGAATTCTTCCCAAGACATCTTGCTAGCTTCCCCCTTGGGCATCGAACCAGCCAGTAACTTCCACCAGCTCAATACTCCATATTTTAACAGAGGGATTGCAAGAGCGGTCTTCTGTCTGTTGCTACACTCGCAACTTTCAAACATTGTCTCCATTTCGGAGATCCAGTCCATGACTTGCACCGGTGTCGGGCTCCCAGAAAGACATGGTGGTTTGGATGCCATGAAATCCTTGTACTTGCATCCACGTCCATCATTTCCTCTATCCTGGTTGTTTTGGCGAACTATTGGTGGGTTGGCTTGACCAACGGTCCCACTGTAGTTTCCTCCTTCAGACTGCCCTCCATTTACTTCGGGCTCTTCAACTTGAATTGACAATTCCTCGCGATTCTGCCAGATCAGACGTCTTTGTTTCTTCCATCTGATTATTCAAAATTGCCTGGATCATTACTTGAACTCCGGCCATTGTCATTGGTTCAGGCACTGCTGCTAAAACAGGTATTTGTTCAATTACTGGTATTTGATTCCTGTTTTCATCAGCATTTCCAACTCCACTCCTCGTTCTCACCATTTTTGATCTATACACCGAATAAGGTGAAATTAGATCCTTAGTCACGATAGATATTCAAATCATCCTTATCACTCCGAAACGTTTACATGTTAGTTCTAATATCGTAGACGCACGCTTAGAATCCTAAACACATAAGGTTTCCAGATCCGGTCGGCAACAGACCATAGATCCGAACAATTAACATCATATATGGCAAAACATATAACAATTAGCACATAATAGCATTTTAGGCAATTTTCCTAAAATAAAATAGTGCCTGTGTCAATTTAGGTGTACTACCTAAAATATAATGGACACACTCAACTCACAATCATTGCTTAGCATTCTAAGTTTAAGTCTAGAAATAAATCCATATTCCTAGTTCGCTTAAACTAATGCTCTGATACCAACTGTGACATCCCCAATTTCACGGCCAGAAAAGACCGATTTGTTTATGCTTTGTTTTATAAAATCAGAGTAATCTTTTGATTAAAAGAGTTGCGGAATTTGTTCCCAAAATAATATATGATAAAAATTTTCAAAATATTTTTCAAAGAGAATGTATTTTCACTAAATAATAAAACCTTGGGATGTCATGTTCGATACAAACCAAAAGCATAAACAATATAAAATAAAGCTTACAACAGTTATTTATGACTACTGATCTATAATCCAAAATCTCTCGTCAAGTCCACCAACTTATACTCTTGTGCCATCACCTGTAATGTAAACAAAACTCAGTGGATCAGGCTTGGGAGCCTGGTGAGCATATAGGGTCTTCAACCCACAATAATATAATTATTATATGTAATCAGCAAACAATCAACCCAATTACCCATCCCCATTATCTTCTTAAGGTTTTACCCTAAGAACCAACTATCCTTCATTCATTTATTCGTAAGGAATTTGGCACGAATTCCATTGCTGCCAAAGCTTATTTATCAAGTACTAAATCCATAGTTATCTGGCGCTAACTCCATAGTCAGCAAAGTTCACTTAACAAGCGCTAACTCCATAGTCGCCAAGGTTTACTCAACAAGCGCTAACTCCATAGTCGTTCAAGGTTTACTCAACGTGCGCTAACTCCATAGTTGCCAAGGTTTATACAATAGGCGCTAACTCCATAGTCACCAACTATTCCATTTACCTATGTTCTACCCAACAATTTTGTAGATATAAATACTTACACAGTTTAAATCATTTAACACCTATATAAAACTCCAATTTCCATGCCCATCTCAAATAGACAAATAACATATAAACACATAGCACGTATTCCATAGCAAATACGTCATATTTGTGTGTTAGAAGAAAGTAACTACACACTCACACATATAAACAACAATAAACTTAATACACTCAAACCATACTTGTATTATTATCGTGTTTATGAAAGGTAATATACACTCACTTGATCAGAAGATGATCGGACAGCACTACGACTTGCAGAAGCAGTATTCTTCGGTAGATCTGGAAGATCTCCACAAAAATCGAATTTCTCGCGGGCAGAGCTTCGGCTCGGGAACCGCACTTCTTGGGATAGTCGGGATCTCGAGACTTGCTTCGGGGCTTGAGAATATTACCGGGGCTTCGGGGTATTTCTGGCACGCAAAACGATGCAAAACGGGAGAGAGAATGGAGAAAAATAGCAAATTAAGCCGGCTGCCCTCGCATCCTATTTATAGGAGGCTGGAGCCTCGGAGTACGCGGGGCGTACTGGTCCGAAATCATCACTGCGTTCGTCATCCGAAGTCCTCGAGTGCGTGTGTTGACATCTTCGGTGTACGCGGAGCGTACACAAGTACGCGGGGCGTACTTCGGATCGGAACGCTGACTCCTCTTCGGATAATGTCGGGGTTTAATAATTAATTTTAATTATTAATTATTTAATAAACTTCGGAAATTCATATCTCCTTCATACGAACTCCGTTTTCGATGTTCTTTATATCCACGCGAAGGTGAGACTACGCTCTACAACTCTCGTTTAGATTCCGTTGGCTAATTTTGAATTTATTTTTATTATTTATTTTTAATAGGTCGAGACAGAAAATTTCGTTATAAATTCATAACTTCTTTGTCCGACGTCCGTTCTTGCCTAACTTTTCGTCGTTTCGCTACTAACAACGAGATCTTTGATTCTCGTTTAGATCGCTAAGGCTAAATATCACTCTAACATAAATTCACTTTTTACGTCATTCAGCGTTGTGCCGGTTCTGTCGTGAAACTTTAACAAGTCATAACTTCTTCGTTATAACTCGGATTTTGGCGTTCTTTATATGCACGTAAACCTTGTAACATATACTACAACTTAGTTAGGATTATTCATCCTAAATAATCTTCTATCAAAACGTCATTCTTGACGCTTATTGTCTCTAAATTGACTAGCCCTGATCTACGGGCGTTACAGCCTGTAGGTTCTTGCACGATCGTCGTTGCTTCCGATCTTCGTTGCTTCCGATCTTTGTTGCTTCCGATCGTCTCCGTTTCCTAGATATCCGCCACTTCCTCGATCGTTGCCGTTGCATCCTCAATCGTCGTTGCTTCCTCTATTGCCGAAACTTCCTCGATCGCTGTCGCTTCCTCAATAGCTGCCACTTCCTCGATCGTCGCCGTTGCATCCTCAATCTCACTGTTAGGTATTTTTGCTGCTCAAATAAGTGTATTTACAATTTTCATTTGTTGGTAAATTTGAAGTTGTATACTGCTCAATTTGTTGCATAATCATTGCCCAAACTGCTAGGGTTTATCAATTTTATGAGAGGCTGCCACTAGTACCTTTAAAAGTCCAATAGTTTTTTATTATTAGAACTGGTGATTGCATTTTGTCTTTCTCAAATAGGCCTATTTACAAATTCCATCTTCATTTCTTTGTCACAATCTGGTGACACCATTAGATCATCTAAGAATGATTATGACTTGTTATTTGAGAGGTTCCTGGTCCATTAAAAACACACCAACAATTGTTACAGTTTAAAAATTCAATAAATTTTACAATTCTACATATGTTATAAATATGAGTAAATAAGAGAATTTATGACTATCACTAACAGCCACTCATAGATCGGAAGGATGAACATCTTTAGTTTTAGGTTCACATAAGCAATTCAAATCAATGTGCATAAGAAATTAAATATAAATATTATGAAAAGAGGCATATGACTAATTGACAACATCTTTAGACATTATTTGACTCCATTGATGATCAACTATTTGTTTCCTGTTAGCAGCATTGTCCTTCCTTTAGAGTTGATTTTCTTGTTTCTTTTCTTAAGCACGTTCTTCATTCTCTTTTTTTCTTCAAAAGATGTTTAGGATCCAATTATCTTGCATTATTGACTTCAACCATATCTTCACATGATAAGCTATGAATAATAATAACTCACAAAGGAACATATACTCAAGAACTCATATGATTGATGATAGTTATCTCACAATTATAGAGGTGAGAGTCTCTCCAAGTTCATAAGAAAAATTACAAAATTTTCCATAAACAGCCCTACACCGTAGACAAGCTTAAATACTCTCCTAAGGGAATAATCCTCAAAATAAGTACCACAACCCAACTGGAACAACCCCCACGATTACAACAGTACAACAAAATTAGTGCTAAGGCCATAACCACCTGAAGGAATAAAATAAATAGAAGGATAAAGTAAAAAGGGTGAAACAGACAATTCACTACACTCCATAGTTGTTTTATTATTTATTGACCTTTCTACCCCTCTTGCTGTAAACTAGAAGTTCTTGAGGCTTATCATCACACTACAATAAGCTTATAAATTTATAGGAAATGTAATTACCTATATTGCTTCATTAGACTCATTAAGTTCATTAAATCAATATGTTTGTTAATATAGTAAAATTAATGACTTAATGGTGAAAGTCTCATTTCCTTGATTTTCTTTGTTAGGAATCTAATTATTCAAAATCATATTTAGGTTACATTACCTTAATAGTGTCGATTTGGTTTTGCATAGATTCATGATACTGAGTTTCTCCAGACTTGTCAAAAATAAGAACTTGAAGCTCTTCTTCCAGGGTCTCACTAGGCATAACCCTTAGTTCCGACTGCAACCCATCAAAATAGAAACATATTATACTTACAAGTATTTAACCATTATAACACGATATGACTTGATACTTGTAAGAAAAGAACTAAAATAATCAGTGCAGATTTAATGTGGAGTTGGGGTCAAGTATTAAGCAAAGACAAGCAAATGTGACAAAAAAGAATTATAATATATGTTATGAAAACTAACCATAAAATTTTCAACTCTACCCTTTAGTTTCTGTAATGATTCCTTCACTTGTAAAACAAAAAGATTTATGAACAAACCAACACTTTGAGATTAACTATTAACTCACATCAAAAGGATATTTATTTTTAATTTTGTTAACATGAAAAGGTTAGATTTTCATGTAAACCTTGTGATGTTCTGAGGCAAGTTCAGATCTCATTTATGTCAGCTTGTCAAATTTTGCTTTGGCAGCATTAGCCTTTGTCATTGTATTGTTGTACGCATTATCCTAAAAATACAAGAGTACTTGGATTAAATATTAACTTGTAGTAAACTTAGCTTTCATCCAAGGATACATACCAGATTTCCACTTTAGACTAGGGTTGTAGCATCATAGTTTCCTGTGACATAAGTTTCAAAGTTTTCATTATTATGTCTTCTTTCAACAATGTTCAACTAGGAAATGAATTCATACCTGAAGATTTAGTATCCCAATGGTCAATTTGTGTGTTGACTTGTACCATGTTAATTCAACATTAATAGGGGCATTTATAGGGACATTTCCATCACTAGATAGTAAATAAAGTTTATTGCTATAGTGAAAAGTCTATTAATTAATACAAGACTCAAATTTATCACTTTCTCTTTTTAAAATTCTATCGATTTTGACTTTATCAAAATAATATAAATTCCCATTTTTAATAAGATAAAAGAAGTGACCAGTGGCAGTGCTAGTGGGCGTGGGCGTGGTGTTTTCATTTTTAATGTCTGACACGTTTTTTTTTTCATTTACATCTTCTTCAAATCGGCATTTATTTTGAAATAAGTTGATTTGCTTTTTTATTTCATGCACAAATAGAATAATTACAAAAAACAAAAAACTTAAATCTATTTTTCAACCTTGAACTTTTTAAGTATAGCACGGTGCCTTTTGAAGTTTTTGTTTCCTAGCATTTCATAAACCATATAATTTCAATTACAAACACTACTATATTATAGAGTATTATTCTTCAACTTTAATCTTTAACATATATCTATAGTAATTAATCAAATTTCTTTTTATCAAAGGAAATAAAAATGAAAGTTATGTTCCATATATTTGTCGGCAAGTTTAAATAATAATATGGCACTCTATTTATATCAGTAACCCACAGTTCTAATAATAATAATAATAATATTTTTTATCAAAGGAAATAAATGAAACCCCAAAAGATTCGTGACCTCGTTTGTAATTAACTTTACGATATGGCACTCGAATATTTTGTGGTTAAAAATTGTCATATATTATGATTATCACATAAGATTTTTTATACTCTATAATATGTTTGTGGTAAACAATTTTGGGGGACAAAGTGAAGCATAACTACATCTTGTTATAGAAAGTACATTGCTATTGTGGGTAAAAGATAAAGTAAATTTATGGAAAATAATTATGTAGAGCATGTGTGATTTGAGGAGAAAGAGACGAGCAAAGATGGAAGAGCCCCATGTTTCTGGGACAAAATCATTTGCTCGACTTGCTCACGAAGAGGTATTATTATATTTTATTATTTTATGACTTATATTATTATCTTTTTTTAATTATTTATTTTTCATCAAACATAACTACATCTTGTTATAGGCATTGAAACATGGTGCATACCCAACACGAAGACAAATATATGTAAAAACCCGCACTCGTAAAAATGGAAATATTGTGAATGAAAAATTCGCTCAAGTTATGGTAATGATTTCCCAAGACATTATATATACATGTTTTTAATCATATCAAGTCATATACTCTTTGTTTCATTTTAAACCTTGTAACTTGTCCCACTTTCAAAGTATTAGAAACATACTTTTAAAGTAGGTTGCTATACTATGATAGTATAGCAACCATTTTCAAAGTATGTTGCTATTAATTTGAAAGTGGGACAAAATAGTGGTTGAGAAACACTTGTCATATTTTTTGTATGTTGATATTATGCAGACTTCCCTATAAGCCATTGCAAACGATTCCTCAAATACCCTAGGATCTGTTGATGATTTTTCAAATGATGACTACTCTAAAGTTAAAGGTCCTGAAAATAGAGGGTATATCAAATGTGTTGGAAGGATTCCTACCGTAAAAGAGAAGGTTGTTTCTTGTTCTAATGATCCAAGTGTCGAACAACTAAAAACTATAGTGAATGTTATGGCAAATATCATCCAAGAACATATCCCAAATGCAAACTTGTCTGGAATTCTTAGCAATATGAACATACAGGTCCATATGTCATCTATAATTGCATTGTTCCTTTTCAATTACCCTATGAATAAAAAACATTCATTAAAATTAGTCCGTTATTATATTTCCAATTGGACTCAAGAATGGCCACTTTTGCCATTTTGAATAATCTTCTTGGTGTACGTATGCATCTTCTTAAACATATTCTTCTTGTTTATTTGTACAAGACTAGTAGAAGATATCTAGAGTTGGACATTAATGTTATATGTTTTCATTATCTTGTTTCAGATGCCAGACAACACTTCTACAATTCCATGCCACTCTAATTCAGTTAACCAGAGAGCATCTTCTGAAAGTCATCATAATGATGGTAATCATTTTTATGAGCTTTTCTCTTTCCTTTGTTCTTATAAATATAGTTTATTTGTGTTGAGTATTATATTATTTATTTTCTAAACTAAGCCTTATTTCACTGGATTCTGGATTATCTTTGTTTTTTGATAGGGAATTGCTAGCATTAATTCTAGAGTATGAGATAACGCAATTTATTCAACCTATCATGTCTTTATTTTTTATTTTTTTTTATATGTATGTTTTAACTTTTGTTCATTACTTTATGTTTAGCATGTACTTAGACATATTTGATATTTACCTAGATATTCAATTCAAAAAGTTAAAAAAATATTGATGAAAAACAATGAAATTTTGATTATTTTCAATGTGCTACAATTTAATTATTTATTTTATTTTATATTATAGATGAAATTGTATTGTTGTAAATAAAATTGATACTAAAATCTTAAAATATGTAACTAAAAGTAGCTTGAATTTTATAAATCACATGTGCTTTTAATGGCACAAAATATATGCCACAAAATTTTCCTCTGTTGTAATACATAAAAAATACCACTATTTTTTATTGTGGTAAATAAATAAGTGCCAATAAAATCTTAAAATGTGTAACTAAAAGTAACATAAATTATTAAATCAAATCAGATTTAGTGGCACAAAATATGTGCCACAAAAGAAATTTGTTTTACTGTGACAAATAAAAAAGTGTCACTGAAAACCTAAAAACTGCAGCAGCAAAAGCAAAAAGTATCACTAAAAGGTTTTGGTGGGAGCATTTCTTATGACATTTATTAAGTGTGCCACTGATTCATTGAGAAGCATTTAGTGGTATTTTTTTGAACTTTTAGTAGCACTTTTAATGCATATATGTATACGTTAACTCTTTTATATATATATATATATATATATATATATATATATATATATATATATATATATATATATATATATATATATATATATATATATATATATTAAAAGTGATTTTTTCAAAATATAGACGTGCATATACACATGTTTTTTAAAAATACATATATAAAAAAAATATATGAATATACATTAAAAATGATTTTTTTTAATTCTTTTTTAGATATTAATTTCAAAATGTAAGGAATATTTTCGCTGACTTAAAAACATTAAAAAAATTTAAAAACCCATTATTTTAAATAAGTGAAAATATACTTTATGTTTCGAAATTAAGACTTAAAGAAAGATTTTTTCAAAAAAAAATTGCATTTTTAATGCATATTCATATTTCTTTGTGTAAATATATATTTTCAAAAAAAAATTGCGTAACATGCATATAAATTTTCTTACCTTTATCTTTTATATATATATATATATATATATATATATATATATATATATATATATATATATATATATATATATATATATATATTACTACTTTATGATACATATATAATAAGAATTCAAATGTTTTTATGACTAAAGTCTTAAAACAAGGGGAAACATTATTAACCATTGGATTTGACATGGATGAGATTGATGTTATGGATGGTAATCCTTGTGGTTACAAATAAACCAATCAGAAATAAACAATAGACACTATAAAATAAGAAAAAAAAACACCTTTCATTTAATTATTTCAAATCCCTTTCTCCTCCCCACATCCAACTCCCTTTTTCTCTAAGTATATTCTCCAACCACCAACTCTACCAACATTTTCTGGATCCACCGTTGATTTCTTCCACCACCACCACACTAAACACCTTTACCACAAAGTTAGCTAACTGCCATTCGTCTTCTCCGCCGTCGCTACTCTTCTATGACCCTCTCTAAACAAAACCCTAACTATAGACACACCAGCAAAGCACACACATTGTAACCGCTATTGCACCAGAAGCACGCCGTCATGCACCGATCTTTGCCTCCAAAATCCTTATCATTACTACCACCACAATCCCTTTTTATTTGTCCATAAAACCTTGGATGAATTTACAAGAATACCGAGGTATGTGCCTTAGAAAAGCATCTACTTAAAATTTTCTGTTTGATATTGGTGTTTAAGTTTCTCCAAGACCTGAAGAACTAGGAAGCAAAGATTATGTTCATTATAGTTTGGCATGTATGTAGAAATAATACCTTTGTAAATTTTCAAACTTTCATATAATTGTGTAGTTAAAGAGAGTGAGTTTTGTTAGTATTTGATAGCTTATTTTATTTCTTATTTTTATTAGTTTGTTTTAGTATTTTTTAGCTTTTTTTATTAGAATTGCATTGTATATTCTTTATCT